ACTGTCCCTGAGCTCTTCAGCTCAAGGCTAGCACTCTACCACTTGAGCCACAGTGCCACTTCCAGTTTTCTGGTGGTTTATTGGAGATAAAAGTCTCATGGGACTTTCCTGCCAGGGCTGGTGTTGAACCACAATCCTCAGATCTCAGCCTCCTGAGTAGCTAGCATGACAGGAGTGAGCCACCACACCTGGCTGCTGGTCACATTTTGTGGGTGGCTAATAATGTTGAACAGCACAGACTATAGAATATTGTCCTTGTAGAAAGCTGTATTGGACAGTGTTGGTTTAGAATGGGTAATCAGTGCAGCTAACACTGCATACTCATTGTGTGTTAACCACAGCTCTTGCTAAGTGTTTCTTTTTCCTTTTCCTTTGATCTAAATTTCACTGCATCCATTTTGCAGATGAAGAAATGGAGACATAGAATAAAAAATATTTTTCAGTCGAGGTAAAGGACACATAAATTTGCCGCTTGGCTATTTTAAAGCATGTCATTTTATGGCACATTAGCACAATGACACTGTGTACAAAACTATCACCACTACCTAGTTTTAGAATGCTTTCATCACCCAAAGGAAATCCTGTACCTATTAAGTAGTCATCCCCTTCTTGAACCATAACCAGTAATCTACTTGTCTCTTAATTTACCTGTTCTGCCTAGTTAACTGTAAATAGTTCAGCTTCTTTTGACTCAGCATATTTTCAAGGTTCATTCATGTTGCAGGGTAAATCAGCATTTCATTCTTTTTGTGTCTGACAAATCCATTGTATGTAGCGAATTTCATCAATCATTCCTCCACTGATGGACATTCAATATGGTCTGCCTTTTGGTGACTGAATAGTGTTTCCATGAACATCCTTGTTTTGCTTAATACTGCTTTTAGTTCTTTATTTAGGAGTGGAACTGCTGAATCATAAGGTAATTCTGTGTTTCAGTTATTGAGGAATAGGTTAAGTAAATTTCAGCTGAGTTACATATTTAGTTAACTGACAGACCAGAACCTAAGCAGAAACAATCTATCCCTATACTCTAAAACTGTTAGTTCATTGCTTATAGCTATTGTTAGTATAGTGTTAGATGTTTAACAACTGATTCCTTTCCTACCTCCCAACTGGTATCACATAGCACTCTGCTCGGATGTCCATTATCCTTCCTAGGCTTTCTTCCATTGAAAGACCTTTTGGCAGTGTGCCTTCTGGCTTTCCCAATGTTGGGATGGGGGGAACACGGAGGCTGCCCATTGTGATTGGATGGGCCCTGCCCTTTTCTCTGCAAAACCATTCCTCATTTCATCTGCACTTACCTCTCATGTTCTTAGAAGCCTTCAAAGGGAAGAACTGAAGAGCAAAATACAGCACAGGCCTGGATTGTAAAAGTGTAACATCTGTCAGAGGCCCTTGGGCACAGTGATGTGTAAATCACCTAAAAATGTCAGCCATGCTTGGCTTGCTGTTGAACTATTAGGACCTGGCAATTTGTGGCCTTGTTTAAGACAAAGTATCTTACTGAAAAATTATCTACTTCTAAAAACATAAACCAAACATTTTCTTAAGTGCTCAGGTAACTCACACACTCTGTATACTTGTTTTAAACTACCTCCCTAGCAAGTCAACCAAATGTTTTCCAAGCACAGAGCAGGCCTTTACTGCTTTATCAGTTTTAAGACCTTCCTCCTGTTGATTTCTTAGCCAGTGGAGCCCAAAGCACCCATAGTGATATTTGTACCCATGGCAAGGGCACACACTGTGGAGAGGAAGGCTTTGCTGAGGAGGCTGATGGGGAACTGAAGGCCTGGGAGCTATCAGAAGAAACATGCTGTCCACCCAGGGAACAGACTGCTGATCTTTTTAATGAAGACTGGGACTTGGAGTTGAAAGCAGATCAAGGGAATCCTTATGGTAGGTATGGAATTTCTGGGGTCCTGAGCCAAAGCTTCTCAGACAAGTCCTGAAGGCAAATAATTTGGAAGAGGGAGCCATGTGTATGAACTCACCCTCATATTCATCCCAGGTCTGAAGTATCTATGATAGCTTCTTTTTCATATTGAAGATTTTAAAAAATTGACTCCACAATATACTACATGAAAAACAATTTTACTCCTCTAAAAACCTTTGAACTGAGAGGCTGCAGATATAGGTGCTCTGACATCCACTTACTTCCTCACTGCTGAGAACCACAAATAGGTGATTCAGAGTAATCATGTCTGCAATTTGTGAATATGTGTCTACAGTCATACACAGCATGTGTCATTACACAAAAGTTTTGCCCCCTAGCTTTTTTTTTTTTAAGCAACCTGTTCATCTTCTATCCTTCCTTCAACCTTTCTTTTGAAACTGCCTGCAGATGCTGATGATATCCAGGGGAGCATTTCTCAAGAGATCAAACCATGGGTGCGCTGTGCCCCACAAGGAGACATGGTCTATGATCCCAGTTGGCACCACCCACCTCCACTGATACCCCATTATTCAAAAATGGTCTTTGAAACAGGACAGTTTGATGATGCTGAAGACTGAAGGCAGCAATGCACTTTCTACCTTGTGTGGACTGGGGTCCTCCAGCTCAAGATCTCTTCCTGTCTTTGAAGTGTTTGTGAGTTGGCTACACAGACAAGGTCCATTGTTTTCCCCAGTTCTATTGTTGTTTTAATGCACTCCTTGGAAGGTGTATTCACATCTTTGTTAGTTGTCGTCTTTATAAATAAAGGTAAAAAAGTCACTATGCTTTGTCTGCTTTTCTTCCATTTAATTATGTGCTTCTGAGCAGAGCCTTATTCCTCATTTAGAGCCCCACAACTATATTGTAAGGACTACCGTATTTAAAGATCTGAAAAGACTCTGAAAGACGAAAAATCTTAGTTTTGTTCTTCTGTACTTCTGGAATTCCTGTCCAGGAGATGGAATCCAAGAGATTTTGGTGAATTTATGGTTGTTTCTATTCCCATTGATAGAAAAACTGAACATTTAGTTTACAAGGGCTTTATATAGGCTGGGAAAATAAAAAGCAAAGTAAGCCAACAATATAATCCTTAATTGGTATAAAATTGTTTTTCATCTTTTAACCCTCAAAATTACATGAAGTCACTTTTACCTTTTCTCTTTTTTGTGTGGTAGGGCTTGAACTCAGGGCCTAATGCTGTCCCTGGGCTCTCTTGTTCAAGGCTAGCATTACACCACTTTGAGCCTCAGCACTATTTCCAATTTTCCAGTGGTGAACTGGAGATAAGTGTCCCATGGACTTTCCTACCTGGGCTGGCTTTGAAATGCGATCTTCAGATCTCAGCCTCCTGAATAGCTAGGATTACAGGTGTGAGCCATCAGTACCTGGCTGGTTTTTTTTGTTTGTTTTAGTGCTGGTCCTGAGTGCCTGGATACTGTCTCTGAGCTTTTTCATTCAAGGCTAGCACTCTATCAGTTGAGTCACAGCTTACTTCCAGCTTTTTTGGCGAAGAAAAATAAAACTTGGTTAGTATTTGGTTTTTGACCCAAGTAGTCCAGGCTAGCACTGAACTCATAATCCTTCCTCCACCTGTGTTGGGATTAAAAGCTATGTGGCTCAGAAATTTTTATTCTGATATTTCTTTCAAATAGTAAGTTTCCAAGAAAGGAACTACTGACCAAACCTTGGGAGGTAAGACAGTAAAGACATATTCATCAACTGTGTCTGGATAAAATTCCTATGTGCACTTGTTTTCTCTCACCCCTTTTCCCCACACAAGCAGGTAGTTGCTTCCTGTTCAACACCTAGGAATGGGCATGCCACAGGATTGAGGAGAGTAAGACATTTTTTTTCTGGCTTTTTCAATTGATTAATTGGTTAGAGGCATAGGAATTTTGTGCTTGCTGAAGAAATCTGAAGAAGAGGGCTGAAGGCATGACTTAGCAGGAGCATCTGCCTAGCAAGTGTGGGGCCCTGATTTCAAATCTAGGTACCACAATTTTAAAGAAAGTAAAAACAAAGCATTTTCTCTAGGCACCTTGAGAGAGATGGGGGATACTGAGAGCAGACCTAGAGGTCAGTCATTGAACAGTACTAAATGTTGATGTCTCAGGCAGTTGGGACCATTTGCCAAAGAGGTTCATGCCTTGATGGTCAAGGGCCTGTAGGATGTAGATGGGCTGTAGGACAGATACTGTATGAACTGATTCCTATCCACTCTGCCTCACTGCATGAATCCCTGGGACAATTCTGAGGATACAAGAACTCCAGACAGCGAGATGAGAACTTGAGTTTGAAAACTTGACTAGACTTCTCCAACTCTTGGGATGCAAGGGATACCCCTGGATGTGAACAAGTTACTGTGGGGACTTGAAGATGGGTCATTACCTATGCACAGCTGATGTACTGGAGGGTTCCTCATCAATCCATCGGCACTAAGAGTATTAATAAGTGTTTCTATCTTGAATAAAACTTTCAATTCTGTACTGATTTGTGCCATTTACAATTTGTGGGGAGGAGGACTGGAGACAGCTCATGGCCTTGCTCCAGCTATGCATGTACTCTATCACTGACCTACACCTCAGCATGGGTTATTTTTGACAGCTCCCACATTTCTATTGTCTTTAGGAAATTGTGTAGGGTAAACCCTTTCACCTCATCCCTTAGTTTGGTACCATGTTCATAGTGACAATCTGGTCATCATGAGACCCCAGCAAGCTAAGAGGGTTTTTAAGCTTTACTCCTAGACACACATGTACCTAAGCCAAGAGAAGCCTCTTGTGAGAGCTTTCTTCCCCATCCTAGAAACTGAAATAGAGGCTATAGACTGCTTACTCTTCATGCACAGAAGCAACTGACTAGACTCCCAAGTCCAGCTTCCCTGATAAATCTTAACTTGCCATCCTAAGAGACAGAAGCAGTGTGTCAGCTTGGTAAACATTTTGGCATTGCATTGTCTGTCCTTAGTCTGTCCAGCATTTGGATTCTGCTTCCTAGCTCTATGAGAAAATGGATCTAGAGGAATGTGAATTTGTGTGCATACTCATATATGAGTATGCAAGACCAAGGAAAACCACTAGGAAAAATGGCGAAATTGAAGGGTAGGACAAAGGCAAAAGTCAGCACTGGGCCCCACTTTGTTAACTAGGAAAGCCAAAGCTTTGGGAAACAATGGCCTCCCTGCTCTCAGCAGTTTCTATTAGCTGGTTCCTAGCCTAAGCACAGTTCAGTGGACTTCAGGGTACCAAAACTTATTGGACTGTTCCAGGATTTTACTTGCTGGTGGCCTTGGAGGAAAATATGGTCATGGTTTCTTTGAAGAAGATATTTCTATTTAGCTCACAGTGTTCTCTGATCCTTCTCCCCATTGGGAGAAATTATCTCAGAAAGTATGCTTCCACTCTAACAATTACTCTTATAGCTCTCCTTTTATTTATTTAGTTTTGCTGGTCCTGGGGTTTGAACTCTGGACCTGAGTGCTGTCCTGGGCTCCTTTTGCTCAAGGCTAACACTCTACCACTTGAGCCACAGTGCCACTTCCGGCTTTTTTCTTTTTGCTTATGCGGTGCTGAGGAATCGAACCCAGGGCCTCATGCATGCAAGGCAAGCGCTCTACCACTGAACCACCTTCCCAGCCCCTTTTATTTTTTTCTTAGATAAGGAAATTTTTTATTTCAAAATCTCTGAAATGTCATAGCGGTTGAAGAAATGTGGCAGACTAAAGAGCCAATAATTGGCACCTTCAATTTCTCCTGGCTGTGATCTGTGGCTACATTCCACTCACCTAACAGGTAGCAGTAAAACCCAGCATGACCCACAGGGAAAACCAAGAAGCCTTAAAGAAGGTGCAAAGATTGTTTAAGGGCTATTTTCCTGTTACTTGGTCTCTTGCGGGTTTGATCAACTCATCTGTGAATCTCAGGATTACTCCAGATTTTAGAGATGAGTTTTCTCAGAAAAAGTTATCATGAAACCCATCACTGGGGTAATCACTGTTACTCCCACCCACCTTCAAAGACTGGCACATTGTAAGAATTCAATATATGTGTGCTGACCTCACAGTGTGTGTATATGCAAAGAAAGGTAAAATGCGTTGTGCTGCGTTCCCCTGTAGATTTATATGCCCGTATACTCAGAATGAACAGGGGGAAGGCCTGTTCTTGCTCTCAGGGAGGGAGTAACACACAAGTAGACTTGTGTCTGTCTTTTCTTCTCTTAAGAGGTTACTTGTGATTGGATTCAGGGTCCACTGGAGTAGTTCAGGATGGTCTCAAGATCATTTCTAGAAAGATCCTTTTTCCAAATAAGGTCTCACTCAAAGGTCCTGGGATTAGGCAGTGCATACAATTTTAGGAGGGATACTATCCAGCACATTCCAGCCTCTATAGATGACAAAACAGAGCAACATTGTGATCATCTTGCCATTGATGAAGCCCTACCAGGAACCCTCCCCACTCAGCCTCCCAAATGGGGTGGTAGGTTTTCAATGACACACTGAGCAGGTGGCCTTTTTTTTTTTTTTAAAGCCAGAAGACAAGGCCCTAGGAACCTCCTCCAGCCTATCTTACCCTGAGGCACTGTTAGGGCTCTTATATAGCAACCTGGATGGGGCAAATGGTGCAATCCAATGAGACAGAATCCCTTTTCTTCCCCTAGTATGCTACTACACTGGTGCATCTTAGATTCTAGTAGGAACTGCTTTCAGGAACTAAGAGCCCAGTTGCTAGTGATATATATAGCCCAGATGGCAGGTATTCTTACCCTCAACAAGAAAAATTGGCTGTTTTGTGTTCTAGTTTTGTACCATTACTGGGCTTTGAACTCAAGGTCTGGGCACTATTCCTTAGCTTCTTTGCCCATCACTTAAGCCACAGCTCTTCTTCCAGCTTTTTGGTGATTAGCTGGAGATATCTGACCACAATAGTCACATCTCAACCTCTTAAGTAGCCTGGACTGCAGATTACAGTCACTGCTGCCTAGCTTTTTTCTCCTTTCTTTCACTGGTAACTTATTTTACCTACCACTTTCTCTGTATTATTATTCTGTTAGGTCTGTCTGGGAGAACAGCCCCTTTCCCCCTTCCTCTCCACTGGCCTGAAACCATTAATCACCTGTCAATCACCTGACTGTGAGACAGCAAAGGACCCCAGGCTCTGAGGTCACTTCCTGAGCCACCCTGGTCCCGCCTCCCCTATAGACTCTGGCTCCACACGAGGCCCTCAAATGTGATGTCCTTCCCTCCCACCCACCCTCCCCAGCCCCCATCTCCACCTGCCTCCATCTCTTGCAGGTCTGCAGTTTGCTCTCCCCCCAATAAACTCCTTTTCTACCTGAAAAGGGGAGAAAAGAGAGTGAGGGCCTCGTGTCAAGCCAGTGTCCATAGGGGAGGAAGGGAGGCAGGGCCAGGGCAGCTCAGGAGTGACCTGAGCCCAGGGTTTCTGCTGACTGGCTGGCAGGCAGGCAGGTGGAGAAGAGGCGAGAGGGCCGTCCTCAGTGCAGATCTGACGCTCTTCACTGCCTTTCTACAGTCCCTGGCATCTTATTTCTAAGACTTTATTTATTTTTTGGGGGGGGGGGTCCGGTCGTGGGCCTGAACTCTGGGCCTGGGCGCTGTCCCTCAGCTCTTCAGCTCAAGGCTAGCACTCTACTACTTGAGCCACAGCACCACTTCTGGCTTTTTTTTCTGCTTATGTGGTGCTGAGGGACCGAACCCAGGGCCTCATGTATGCAAGGCAAGTGCTCTACCACCCCAGCCCTCCAAGACTTTTAAA